CTTTTTCACTCCCCCTCCCCCCCTTGAAGAGGAGGGGAGGAGAAATTTTGATATGAGAATTTAGAGACAACCGAAGATCGATTGCTCTGATACCATGCTAAAATATGAATATTTGGTTTTGAATATGTTAGGTTCTTATTTTATTCTTATTCATACGGAGGTATATATAAGAGTTGATTTGAAAGAGAAGTAAAAATGTGATTTGGGCTTGTTAATAAGAATTTATTAGGTTTTGTCAATTTGACAACAAAAAAAGGGTTTTGGCTGAAAGAGAATTCGATTTGGGCTTTTTTTGGCTGAAATTTAATTTAATTTGGGCTTTTGAAAATGTAAAATTGGGCTCAAGCCCAAACCGATCACAAGGCTGAACCGACCCGAGAACCGAATTCATTTCCGGTTCGGCCCATTTTCGGGTTTTCATTTAGACCCGATCCGATCCGAGAACTGAAGCTTTCATCGGTTCGGCCCACGGGTCGCTCAAATTTTGAACCGACCCGAACCGTGCCCAGGCCTACTTTTATATATGTTTCTTTGTGACATGATTAGTCCTTAAGGTTACCCCACGTACATCAAATTGATTCATACCGTGAGAATTCGTCAAGTATTCTGTTAAACTGATGATGTGGAACCCAAATGTCCAATAAAAACGTGCGAATTAAATAAATAAATATATATATATATATATATATATATATGTTTTAAAATTTTAAAATTGAAAGGATTAGGAAAAAAGATGAAAAAGTAAGAAAAAATATAAAAATGAGGGGTATTTGGGTGCAGGGCCTAGGCGGTGGGTCTAGGGTGGGGTGTGGCTAAGTTGGGGAAGATGGTGGCCAGGTTGGTTGCTTTTGGTTCTGTGGGGGTTGGGTTTTGCGGAGTATGTCGAGGGTTGGGGGGATAAATCGGGGTGGGGGAGAAAGCGAGGGAGAGAGGGAAAAAGAGAGAGAGAATTTGCAATGTGGAGATTTTGATTGTACATATTTGTTACCATTACAGTGAATTAATTATTGATACGAAAGATTGTAGATATGAGCTTAGCCAAGTTGGCTATAGTGAATGTGCTCCCCACTATACACTCGAGTTCGAATCTCCCTCCTCGTACTTTAGATTATATTAAAGTAGAATATCATTTTTATATATATAAAAAATCCTCGATACAAAAGATTTGATGAAAAATCTCAGAGAGAGAGAGAGAGGAGTGGGTGGTAGGGGAAGGGGGAGGAGGGAGGTAGATTGCAGAATGGGAGGCTGGGGAGGGGGAGTCAGCAGATGGTTTTTTTTTTATTTTTATTTTTTACAAGTTTTAAATTGAAGTCTTCTATGGTTTATTGAATTTTTATTTTTTAAACATTTTCAAAACAATTTTTTTATTCAGATCCACATAGCATGCTATTATTAGACACCTAGGCTCCACATACATGCCATATCATCAATTTAACAGAATTTTTTACGAAATCTCACAGTAGGGACCAATTTTATATAAATGGGATAATTTCGTGAAGTATCAAATGTGATAATTTCGTAAACCTCAGAAAACATTTGTGAAAATAAGCCAATTATATATTCTTCTTTTAGTACTTTATACTTTTGTTTTCCCTAACAGAAACGGCCTAACCTCAGTTGCAATAGTAAAGGTGTTGAATCATCTTGGACAGTGGAAAATGCTTCACATGCCTGGAATGTACGTAATGATCGTGGAATCTTTAAAATGTTATCATGTTTCTGTTGTGTGCTTTTATTTCTTTAAAATGTTTGATGAAAACCTTGCTTGCACTCTCTCTTTCATCTCACTATTTGTTGTTTGATTAAATGGAGAGAAGAAAAAAAAAAAGGAAAATGGCACTTTCATTTTGGCACATCTTTCTGTAACTTTTTCTCTTTCTTTAACCCTAGTTTGATAACTAATTTTTCATAAAAACTTGATTCTGTCAGTGTCAAATGCACCAAAAGGGCAATCCTCTCTGTACATCTGGAATTTCTGTTGTTATCAAAATCTGAACCTAAGACCTCCACTACTAGTATGCAAGTTAAACCTTTTTTTGTTTCCTTTGTACAAGTGACATTGATGTTTTTCATATTTCTAGCAGAAATAAAGAAGAAGAGATAATGATCATCAATTTTGATTTTAGGTTTTGTTTACTTTTTTTTTTAGTACAAGTTATTAGGGAGGGGATTTATAAGTATTCATTGGGTGCCTGAGAGTTTTGAACATATACCCTTCACTGGCTATGTTTTGATTACTTTATATATATATATATATATTTATCATTCACACACACATGCACGCGAGCAGACTTAAGCATACTCTAATTTTATGTCTCTTTGGTATACATGTACAGCATCAATTCAATTTGTTGTCTTAACTTGCCTATGTTTGATCATACAATACATCATCGTTGGGTGACAAAAAATACGATGGAAGATGGAAAAGTGAGGTTCCTTCTTCTTCCTTTACACGTGTTTTTATTTTCGTGAGATATGCATGCACGGGTTAATGTTTCTATGATTGGCATTTGCAATCAGGTTTAATGTTATTTATACCATATTTATTCACTAGATCACCTATGGACCTTTTATATTGATTTTTTTTGTTAGGATTGCTTTGATTTTCCTTTACAAATATTCTTTCAAATCAGTGGATGTGGATCCCTGTAACAGAGGTGACCCCACCAATGTATGTGAGATCTATCATATTAAAGAGGTTGTCAACAATGTGATTAGTAAATATGGTCAAAATAACAACACCCTTCATTTGTACGATCACATTGCTGATCATCTCTCTAAAAGAGGATTCACCACTATATATGGGATCCATCCATATTAGAGAGGTGGTGAGTAATAATGTTGTCCAAATAGCAACACCCATACATATATACCCATTAATTACTAAAACATTTCCATGTTAAAATTGAGTTAATTACAGACACCCAAGAACCCATCTTTCGTTCCATCTTTCATAGACGATGGGCGCCTCGAAGTTATCGGTCACAAGGACTGGGGCAGCGACTGGGCTCTCCTTGATCAGGTCATACATCATCTTGAATTGATATTAGTTCCGATTGCAGCATCCATTTCAATAAGAGGATTAATAAACTTATATGTAATTTTTTTTTAACTTACCGCTATTTTTAATTAAGGTACGAGGAATTCACTTCGAGTTTATAGAGGGTGCACAAGGGTCAGCAGCGTACATAATTATTGATGGTGGAGTAAATGGGATGTGGCATATCCCAACTAATGACTTGGTTGAGATTGAAATCTCTTACCACGGTCAAGTCAACATTCTTGCCCTTCCAGATTGCGCAGCAAAAAGTATCCATCACTCCTCACAATCCAGTGTTTCCCAAGCTAACGCTAAGGATTAGTCTTAAGGGCTTGTCCAATATAGATTCCTACATTTTCTATTTCCTAGACATATACCCATCACTCTATAAATCTATGTGTAAAACCCAATTTCAAATTTAAATGACCAGTAGGATATAAGAGGTCGTAGTATTCCTATGTTTTTACATCGTTGCCACCAAACTTCATATTTTATTTATAATTTATTTCAAGCATTTTATTAACTGTCATAATTGTAATTAGCACTCCCTATTAATAGCATATCAATCACCCCATTTCTTTTGGTTGACATTCCCTCTCACATATCGCCCCCTAAAATTGCAAACCAAAAAATATCTGTAAATTACATATCCAATAATGTACCTATGAAAAGTTGGAAGAGTTTGTTTAAGGCTGTCCTGTGTCGGCTGCTGTTACTGTAGCTCCTTGCTACAGGCTGTCCTTACAACCCCTTGGCCATCTCCTTCGTCCCTGGTGGCTGGCTGAGATGCCAGATTTTGCTTTCAAAGCAGGAGTGAGTGGATCTACTTCAGATGGCCCTTCCACTGGTGAGAAGAGAGCCCGAACACAGGAAATGGCTGATGTTGGTGGATCTGAGTCCCCTGAGCCTCCCCTTGCTCTGCCTCCGTTTTCGATGAGCTTCAAAGATAAGGTATCAGGGGATTTTGGTTTGGCCCAAGATAATTTTGTTTTTGGGGAAGATGATTTTGTAATAAAAAATGGACCAATTCCATCAATTGATTTCTCTGAGAAGGTGAAAGACTGCCTCTACAGACCTTGGCGGACAGCAGTGATTATTAAGCTCATGGGTCGCCCATTGAGCTATACTTTCCTGCGGAATCGTCTCCTTCAACGTTGGGCTCTAAAGGGTCCGATGAGCCTCATCGACCTGGATAATAATTTTTTCATTGTGAAATTCTTATTAGAGGAGGATATGAATTATGTGCTTACTGGAGGACCATGGCAAATTGCTGGCCAGTATTTGGCCACTCAAAGGTGGAAGCCTGGTTTCAATCCTAAAGAGGAACGGATCACCCATATGACTGCTTGGGTTCGGATTAATGGGTTAAATGTGGAATACTTCAGAACAGATATAATGGAAAAAATTGGCAATCTTGTTGGCCAAACTGTGAAAGTGGATGCCCATACCATGAGTCAAGCCAGAGGTAAATTTGCTCGGGTCTGTGTTGAACTTAATCTTGCTAAGCCGCTCACTCCTTTTATAGTTGTTGAAGGGCGTACTTTTGGGGTTGTTTATGAAGGAATTCAATTGGTTTGTTTTGAATGTGGCTGTTATGGGCATGGTAGAGATTCTTGCCCTGTTATCTTACAAACTAAAAAGCAAGAAACTGAATCAGCAAATTCTGAATCAGCAAATACTGAAAGCATGAAGGAGAATACAACAGCAGTTTCGGAAATTATTGAGAGTAAGGAGGAGACTACTCCAGTCAAGCAAATTGGTGTGGATAGTTTTAGTCCTGAAAACTTAGTTGCTGAAAACCCAGCTAAGATACACGGCCAATGGATGCTAATGAAGCCAAAGATTTCCACAAAGAAGAATCCTAGTGATCAGGGGCGAGGTGCAGATACTAGAAAGAAAATCTCTAAGCGTGATGGCAATGAACCCAATCTTGGTGCTTCTGGATCCAGGTTTTCTGTGTTGGATAATGGAGATAATAATGATATGGCAGTTGAGGAGCCTGTTGCTGCAATCTCTCCTCCTTCTGCAGACCAAAAGGCAAGCATGAGGAAGCCCAACCGTCCTTTCCAACCAGCAAACTCTAAGTTGAGTGGCTCAGGCAAACAAACCTTGGCTAGTCGAGACCCGAAAGGTTGGATGTCTAAGAAACCCCTCAAAGACATCTCTAACCAAGACACTCTTGGGGGTGATGGCAAGCCACCCAGCTCTGGTACTTGGGGACACCTGAAGAACAATTTTGGAGCTCGGCCTCTTGCTGCTGCTGGTCTCAGCTCGGTAGGGATGCAGGTTCCTGGAGCTGATGTTCAGGATGATATTGCAGGTAAATTCTCCTTTAATGTGACAAACCCTTTTACTGGGAACCTTATGGATAAGGGTACCAATCTTTCTGTACTTATACCTCCAGACCCTGGGAACAATGTTACCAAATCTTATGAGTCTTCTCCTCCTATGCTATCTTGTGACACTATGGAGATTAGTGAGGAACAATTTTTTCATGATGCTCATGATGTTGGTATGGGGGCTGATCTGCCTGTTGTCAATGATGCTCCCCGTTTGTGTGGAGCTCAGCAAGGTGATTGTTAAGGGTTTTCCTTGGTCTGTCCCACCATCTTTTTATCCAATGATTATTGTCTCTTGGAACGTTAGGGGTGCTGGAAAAACTGAATGTGCTTGTACTATCAAGGATTTAAAGAAGATCTATGCTATTGATGTTCTTGCTGTTTTAGAGCCTAGAATCGGTGGTTCTAGGGCTCTTAATATTGCTAAAAGTTTGGGTTTCTCTTGCTATCATATTGTTGATGCCACTGGTTTCTCAGGAGGAGTCTGGTTGCTTTGGAATGGTCCCTCTGTTTCTTTGCAGGTTATCTCTCATTCCAGCCAGACTATCTCAGCCTTGGTAACTATGGATGAAGGTTCTTGGATCCTCACTGTTGTTTATGCTAATCCGTGCCCGGGCATTAGAAAATCTCTCTGGAATTATTTAGATGGTCTGGCTTCTGCTTCTAATCTGCCTTGGTTGATCCTTGGGGATTTTAATGATACTGTGTGTGCTTCTGAGAATCGGGTGATTTTGAAGTTAAGGATTCTCCTTATGGTCCCTCGATTCGTTTTTCTGAACAGGTTAAGAATAAGATCTATAGACCTTGGAAAAATTTTGTGATTATCCAGTTCGTAAGGAAGACTCATACCTATAATTTTGTCCTTGCACGGCTGAAGCAGCGTTGGAGACTTAAGGGGCCAATGCAATTGGTTGATCTAGACAATGGGTTCTTCATTGTTCGTTTTGTTCTGGAGGAGGATTTGTTGTATGTGTTAACTGGGGGTCCTTGGGTAGTAGCTGGACAATATGTTGCTGTTAAAAAATGGAGACCTAATTTTTGTGCAGCTGAGGAGCATGTTTCCCGCATTACTGTTTGGGTGAGATTATCTGGTATGGGAGTTGAATTTTTCAATGCTGAGACTATTAAGTGTATTGGGGATTTGATTGGCTCATCATATAAGGTGGATGTTCATACTGTAGGTCAGATGAGAGGTAAGTTTGCAAGGGTCTGTGTTGAAATTGATTTGAATAAGCCTCTCATCCCTTACCTAGTTGTTGAAGGTAGGCCTATGAGAGTGGAATACGAAAACCTCCCTGTGATTTGTTTTAATTGCTGCAGAGTTGGGCACAGTAAAGAGTATTGTCCTTTTGCTAACTCTGTCCATAAGGACAATGAGACTGATATGGATATGACTGGGGATATTCAAGAAGAGATGCGTTCTCATCAAGTACAGTTACATAAATTGAGGCTTGATGATAATCAAAGAGGCCCAATTGATCCCATGGGGGATAAGGCAGGTTTTGGTATCTGGAATGTTGTTCCGACTAGAAAAGCTTGGAAGAAGAATTTTAAAAATGGGACTACTACTAGTGAAGATAAAGGAAAGGGTGTTAGCCCTGAGGTCGTCCAGAAGAGGCATGATAAGGTTTTTCATTCCAGCAATGCTTTGCCTCAAAAAGATAAAAAGGAAGTTGTTCAAAAGGTTAATTCTGAGGCTGGGATTTATGATGCTTCTGGTTCTAGATTTAATATCTTGGAGAACGATTGTTTTGATAATGAGCAAGAGCCTGTTTTTGGGAATTTGGAGAATCTTCTGTCAAATAAAGGGAAGGCTATCCAAAGTAAAGATGATGGTAGTTGGAATGATCTAACTCCTCCTAATAAGGGCAAGAAAAAGGTTGGTAAGCCGAGAAAAGTTTTGTCTGATATTTCAAATAAATCTTCTTCTAGGCCAGCTATTGTGTTGAGGCCTAACTCTAAGAATTTGCCTCATGATTCCACTATAAATTCTGTGTCTGAGTTGGACCAAGCTTTGAGTAATCTTAGGAGGCCTATGACTAGCGTTGACAATGGAGGTTTGGAAATTGGGGAGGTTGAGGCTCGTAGAAATGATCATTCTTCCATTTCTAAGCCTCGAGCTCCAAATATTATTTCTGTGGTTTCTAGAGCTACTGATCAGGATATGGAAATTCAGGATTTGAGGGATTCTGAGAGTGTGCAGTTGGATTCTAAAGTTGGTGAAGCTTTAATCGCTGATGTGGCTGCTTGTTGTGCAGAGGATGGCAAGGTACAAGGTCTCAAGTGTATGGGGCCTTTGTCTGCCAATGTTGATTAGGTTTTTTTGACCGTTTCTTTCTTCCTTTCATCTTTAATGATTGGTTGTTGGAATATTAGAGGGGCAGGTAATAAGAGATCTTTGCTTGCGATGCAAGATCTTAAGTATAGACATAAATTGGATATGTTGGTTATTTTGGAGCCTAGAATTAGCTCCAGTAAAGCTCAGAAAGTCATTTCTCAACTTGGCTTCCCTAAAGCTGAAATTTCTGATGCTGTAGGCTTTTCTGGTGGTATTTGGCTGCTGTGGGATGATGCTAAATTCAACTTGAGAGTCATTCATTGTATGGATCAAGCTGTTTCTGTTTGTGTTGAGACTTCTGGAGGTATTTCTTGGATCTTTACTGCTGTGTATGGGCACCCTTGCCCGGCTAGGAGAGCTTATCTCTGGAAGGGACAATCCTAGAGGCTGAACTGTGGGGTGTTTTTTGGGGCCTCAAGTTGGCTTGGAATATGGGTTTCAGAGTTGTGGAAGTTGAATGTGATGCTAGCTCTGTGGTGGCCCTCCTTCAGAATGCTCCTATGTATGATCATCCTCTTTTTAGTCTTCTAAACTGCTGTCATCTGAAGCTTCATGATGACTGGACTTGCTCTCTTACCCATATCTACCGTGAGCAAAATCGTGCTGCTGATCTTCTGGCTACCAAAAGCTATGATCTCCCTCTTGGACCTCATATTTTTGACTCGGAGCCTGCCTTTCTTAGTAC